ACGAAAACACATGATTTTTTTTAAATGGTTAAAAACGGAGTTATCTGTTTTTGCAAATGAACTCTTCATATATAGAAATACATTTTGAAAAGGGCAAACTACTAAAACATAAGCTAAAATGAAAATATAAAAAATAAAAGAGAATTCAAAATATTAATAAATACTATAATAGTATATAAAAATACCATAATAAAACTGATCTGAAAGTGCAGAATTAGAAATAGTTCAGAAAGTAGGGTCAAATTAACATTTTACACAATAAATTTACATCAAACACTAATAAAACAAGCAAAAACGTACCTGAGCTCAGTCCTGAAAACCTGAAGTATTGATGTTAGTAAAGGTACTAGTTTTAGTGAGTTGTGCTCCATAAACTTGATCAGCACAATTTTGAAAATAATAATTATTCAAAGACATTCATACTTTAATATGCTTTTATTGAAAAAAAGTGTACCAATAAAACCAAAAAATTCAGAAAAGTATTTCGTAGAGCAAAGCTCTTATGTACAGCATATTGCACTATATAACAAAACCTAGAACTTCCATACTGCATTAAAAACATCAGAGAAACCAAACCAAGGTGAGGAAGTGCACAGTACAGTCCCGAAGACACACAGTCAATGTTTACACACATGCTACATCATCGCTGGGTCTCATTTCTCGGTGTACAGTGAGTGTGTGTGAACCTCAAGACTTCGGCGAAACCTCAGATAAACAATCAATGCGTTTCCCAGTGGGATCATTTCAATAGAAACGTCGATTTTTGGATATATACGAAGGCCTGGATGGAAAAATGGAGGGGTCAAATCTGCAGAATGGATTCTTACATGATAAAACGTCTTAAATGCAAGTATTAAAATCATTTTGGACTGACAAGGAATGTTTCAAGTCCATTTGTAGATTAAAAAAAGCCCTGAAATCATTCAGTGAGGAACATTTCAAGAAATTACAAGGTTAAAAACATCTGCGTTCAAAAAGCCCCAAATTTCAGTAAGAAAATCCATTTTAGAAACCCAAACCAATGAGCCCCAACAATAACAGTCAATATCAAGAAAACAAAGGACTGACGTACATTTAAAGACACCGTTGGTTTCATCGTGGGTTAATACTGGGCTTGTTTTCCTTTGAGTCTAAACACATTGTCAGATGCCAAAAAACGAAATAGAGAATCAAAAACATATTCCTGATTCCTCAAGAACTTCAGAAGAGCGACATGTTAGAGAGACTTTAACACCGGGATACAAGAACCCTTGAGATTCAAGCAAACACAAAGTACTTTCCAGTGCACGTAAAAAGAGAGAAACGGAGATAAAGCACTTCACAACATCCCGCGTTTACTGCGTATGTCTTCAAAACCTCCAGTATTTTGATTTTATGCAACGATTCGGAGTCAGATCTTTGAGATACTGAAGCAGAATTCATATTTCGTTTTCTTATATTTCTATGGAAGCTTGTTTCCACCACGGAATAAAAAATACAAAAGGTAATTGCGACTTTTTATCCCACAATTCAGACTTTTATTCTCGCAATTCTGAGTGTTTATCGCACAAAAAGAATTAAAAAAGAGGTAATTGCGACATTTTCTCTCACAATTCCGACTTTTTTACTTGGAATTCTTAGTTTACATTGTATTCTGACTTCATATCTCTATAAACTCAGAATTGCGCAAAAATGTCAGAATTGCGATATAAAAACTCAGAATTGTGCAAAAAAGTCAGAATTCTGAGACAAACTCAGAACTGCACAAAATGTCAGAATTGCAAGATATAAACTCATAATTGCGAAATACAAACTCAGAATTGCAAGATATAAACTTTGGAATTGCGTAAGAAGTTCAAATTGTGAGATACAAACTCCAAATTGCATGAAAAAAAAAAGAAAAAAAAAAATCTGAATTCCAAGAAAAATTTTGAAATTTTCAGATTTAAAAAAAAAAAAAAAATCACAATTCCTTTTTTGATTTTGATTTTTTTTAAGTTCTGTGGTGGAATCAAGCTTCCATATATCTGAGCCCACAATCAGAAGAGAAACAATTACATACAAACCCAAAAGTCAAATGTTTCACAGCACAGTAATGAGAATTTGGAGCTTCTTATATGTCATGAAATCTTCAAATTAATAACGCAAAAATTTGTTCTAGAGGATTTTGGAGCGAAACACAGCCTGGACGTGTTTTTGTGAGATTCCCCTGATTACATATAATCTCTCTGCTGACTTTCCTCATGCTCAAATTCATCTGATGGCACTTTGTTGATTTGAGAGACACCAAAGATTAAAATCACTGAGCATCCGAAACCTCCTTCAACAACACAACGAACACCAGAAATGCACAACAAAACGTTAGTATCGAGGAAAGAAAAGAATTGCACAATAAAATGTATACAGTAGCAATGGGCCGATATACAAAAAAGAGAAAGAAAATAAATAAGAGAAAAATAAATTAAAACATGATGAAGGAAAGCGGAGGAGTGCACATACGTGAGCGGCGGGAGAACATGCGGCGCTGGCTCAGCGTTCACAATCTGCAGGAAAAACACGTTCAGCCGCGGACGAGAACTACTGAGAAACTGAACCTGTACCGTACTCATCTACCAGATACATTCCTGAAAACCAGTACATTTACAACACCAGAAACCTCAGTCACATTTCACCTCAAAATCAGAAGAAACTTACACGTTTCAATAAAGAAACTCAAGCCTATCTTTAAGAGCATCAAGATTATTTTGCATCGTGACACTGGCATTTTTTCATGACAATTAAGCATGTTTTCTATTCAATTCAATACTATATATTGTAAGTAATACAAATCTAGATTTTTAAAATATAAAATAAATAAAAAACAACAACTCAGAATTGCCAGATAGAAACTCAACATTTTGATATATAAACTTGCAATTCTAAGAAAAAAAGACAAAATTGCAAGATATAACCTCACAATTCTGACTTTTTTTCTCAGAATTCTGAGTTTACAATTCTGTCTTTTTTTATTCCATGAAATAATAATTAAAAAAGGTAATTGCAACTTTTTACCTCACAAATTGTATTTTCCTGAAAATTAAGCATTTTTTCTATTCAATTTGATGCTCTATACTGCATTTAAGTTATGAAAATTTTGATTTTTCAAATAGAAATTAAATGGAAAAAAGTAAAAACTCATAATTTTGATATATAAACTCTAAGAAAATTCTAAGAAAAAAAAAGTAAAAATTGCAAGATTGTTTTTTTTCTCAGAATTCTGAGTTTAAAATTCTGTCTTTTTTTCTTGTTTCCTCAATGAAATAATTAAAAAAGGTAATTACAACTTTTTATCTCAAAATTGTATTTTCATGAAAATTAAGCATCTTTTCTATTCAATTTGATGCTCTATACTGCATTTAAGTTATGAAAATCTAGATTTTCAATCATAAATTAAATGAAATAATAATTGTGTTACATTAGTCCCCATCTAAAATAGGGAGCAAGTAACAAAAGAAAAAAATATTAAAAGCATAAAATTAAAACAGCATAAATTAAAAAAAGGTGGCAGAAAATGTTATTTCACTTTACAAATACAGCATAAAACTAAACTAAATGGTCCTAAAAATCTGTTTAAATGCAAAATAGAAGTATTTTCTTTTGATTTTTGGGTGAAATATGAGCTGAATGTGAGTGGATTTCAAATCAACATTTGACACGGTTCTAATAAACGATGAGGACTTTTATCGGTATCGTCTTCGAAGAGTAAAATGATGTGCTTTCATTAAAAAAAGTCAATGTTTTCCTTCATTTGATCGTTCTGTCTTCATCTCTGATTTGAAATGAACGAACGTTAACCTGAACCAAAGTCTCACAAAATATGCGTCACTCCTTCAAGATGAACAAAAACAAAAACTAAAATAAAATAAAATACAGGACAGACAAATCAGAGGAACAGCACTGAATGCATCAATGTCTTCAAATATAATAATTACAGTCTTAACAAAGTAGTGGTCATATAAAAAACAAAAGAAAGAAATGTACACCACCGTAACTTTAGAGATCAGGCATAAAAGTACAAATAAAACAGGAAAATCAAAAGCGCCGAGAGTCCTGAGAGGAGAAAACTTCACAGATTTACACAGTATTGCTTGGATTATCTTCAACAGGCAAGAGAAGCACAGTTTCAGATGATATATACAAACAAAACGACTTATGAGAAGAGATTTGTGCTGCTGAGGCTGATATGTTTGCTGTATGTGAATGTAAACACAGTCTAGGTCGATCTGTTCGTGTTATAGGCACAGAAACATTACGATATGTCAAAACTGGTTTGTATCTATTGGCCATTTTAAGTTTAGTGGATTTAAAGAGACAGTTTATCCAAAAATAACAATTCTGTCTTCATTTACTCACACACACGTCTTTACCTATATCTCTTTCATCCGTTGGACACAAAATAAGACATTTTGAAGGATGTTAATAATCAAACAGTTGATGGTACCCATTGACTTCCATTTTTTTTTCCATACTATGGAAGTCAATGGGTGCCATCATGGAACAACTTGGTAAGGGTGAGTAAACGATGACTTTTTCTGTTTTCTCCTTCTGTTGAACATAAAAAAAGATATTTTGAAGAACGTTGGTAACCAAACAGTTAATGGTACCCATTGACTTTCATGGTATTTTTTTTCCATACCGTGGAAGTCAATGGGTTCCATCATGGAACAACTTGGTTAAGTTGAAAAATTCCGTCATAATTTACTCTTTCTTCTGTTAAACATAAAAGAAGATATTTTGAAGAATGTTCATAACCAAACAGTTGTTGGTACCCATTGACCTGTATGGAAAAACATACTATGGAAGTCAATGGGGACCAGAAACTCATACAGATTTTGGAACAAATTGAGGGTGAATAGATGATAACAGAAATATGATGGCAAAATATTCTGAAGAATTTTGGTAACCAAAAAGTTCCTGGTCTCCATTGACTTCCATCCTATCATTTTTTTTAGTTAATCATGAAACAACTTTGTTAGGGCAAATCAGAGTAAATGATGCCAGAACTTTAATTTTTGGGTGAACTGTCGCTTTAAGTACCTGAGTTAGACTTAAAGTCAACATTTTTGCAAGCTTTATTCAAATGTTTTCCAAAATCTGGTGAATTTTTAAGACCTGATAACAGTTTTCCTCTACCTTTGCTTCCCCGAAATCATACATAAATGATATTGGAGCAAACTAAACAGCCAATCCAGTAATATTTCATGCTGTTGCGTCAAAACTCAAATCAAATGAAATGTAAAGACAACTCAATAACAGCAGTACATCAACTCATCATTGACTTCATCAAACCCTCTTCAAAGACGTCTAGATCATCCTTGCCTTCTGACTAGTATTTAAACCAAAAAATAGGAAGAACAATAAAAAAAATCCAACAATTATGTAATAAAAAAGTAAAAACATCAAGAAAACTGGACGAAATGAGGTGCAAAAGGTTTTTGTTTTGAGAAACGGCCTCTTTGGAGATTTGTCAAGTTGCTGGACGTCTTGGGAGATTCATGAAGGAAAATCCCATCCTAATCATCCGTAGATGGGTGCCGTGGGACAGTAAGGCATTCCCAAGACTCGCGGAGATCATCCGGATACACACGTGTGGAAGTGCAAAGAAAATTAAACGGCATCCTGTACAAAATACCTCGACATGTTTATGAAAATATTCCTGTTTGAATCTCAAGAACATCATGGCATCTTCATGGGGATACAAACCGCCCCCGTCCTGCGGAAACGTCTTCATTCCATTCTCTGGTTTTCCCCTCAAAACCCGTGTTAGTTATTTCAGACAGTGCTGTTAAACGCCGCGCTCCGTGAAGAGGACTGGGACACGGTTGGCAGTGTTTGAGAGGCGCTTCACCTGCGATTTGCTCTTGCGTTGGGCTCTCTTCCAAATAAAAGCGTGTAGAACGCCACCGCCACGCGCCACCACAGCGGCTCCCGGTTCCTTTGGTTTCTGTGATGCTGTAACATAAAAACACATCACAGCATTACAGCAATGAGACTTACAGGGTACATGTACAGTAGTGAACATTTGAAGTGGATCAAAACCTTTCATCAAAGTTGTCCTAAAATCTAAAAGCGTTCTTGTCTTAGAACAACTTTTTTGATCCACTTCAAATGTTGACTACTGTATTTATTTGGCATTAAAATAATGTCATAATGCAAAATAATCTTAATGTTCCTGGGGTGAAATATGAGCCAGTGATTCATTCAACATTTAAAATATATTTAATATTTTGTAAAAAAAACAATTGGCCAAAATATATGGCTAATATGGATTTTTAAACATTATATTATCATGTGGCCAAAAAAACTAAATACAATAAAATCTATATATATTTTAAAATGTATTTCAAATCATTAAAAAAAATGGCCAAAATATATTGCTAATATGGATTTTTAAATATATTATCATGTGGCAAAAAAATAAAATAAATAAATAAAAGAAATACAATCATTTAACAGCAAGTCTTTAAAATATTGTGTGACAGAAATTTGCTTCAAATATATATACACACACACACTTATTTTTTTTAGTTATTATTATTTAATTAAAACAACCCAACTGCAGTTTGATTGATACTAATTGGAATGCAGGACAAAAAAAAGAAAAGAAAAAGAAACATGATTTTTAAAAATGGAGTTATCTGTTTTTGCAAATGAACTCTTCATACATATATATTAGATTATAAAATATATCTACATTTATTATTAAAAACCTATTGACAATATATTTTCAATACATTTTGGTTATTTACCTGAACCCAAAAGTTTACATTTTACATTTAATTTACCCAAAATGTATTTTAAGATTAGAAATGCATTTTCATGCACCTTGAAGTAAACTTGGTAATGTAAACTGAGTTTTTGTTATTTGAAGGTTTATTAAACAGGTATATATTTTGCTGCATTAGACAATTCACTGAAATAACATCAGTCATATCACATCTTATGACACTGGTGTAATATTGGCGAGCAGCTGAGCGTGTGGCTGGCGTGAGGATGCAGTGAGGTAATAACTGGGTAAACACAGTCAAATCCTGACAGCAGAACATGACAGTATTTCCACAACAAATGCTGTCTGCTCCTGATGCACGGAGCCACGCGATCTCAAACAGAGCAGTCACCTTCACATACAGACACCGCACCAATACTGCACTTCCAAGAGTCCAGTATTAACACTAACAATCAGAATACACATGAGCTTTGGTCAGTAGATACGTATATGGACAGTACGTTAAAACAGATAGTTGTAGTCCTGTCTTCATTATGTTTCTCTATGTTTTTGAGAAAGGTCAGTTTCAGATCAAGTCACACAAACTGCCACAACAATGCAAATAAAAGCAGCTAAATTATATATATATATATATATATATATATATTAGGGTTGGAACGGTTCGCGGAAAAAAATCGAACCGTACGGTTCTCCACACACGGTCCGGCG